GTTTGATAATGATTTATTCTGTAACAAGCACAGATTAATTGACTAAAAAGTGATCATGTGGTACTTGAGATCACCAACCCGAGTAACCCGACCCTACCCGAGGTCACCCGAAAGGTTGCGAGTTTGTAGACTTAAGAGAGTGTTGCGGCCTAAAATTTTCTCAACCCGCACTGGTCGGGTAGGCTCAATTTTTCGGCTCAACCCTACCCTACCCGGCCGATTTACACCCCTAGTTCTAGTTCTGATTAATTAATTTAATTTTCTTGTTTCACCCTCAAGAGAGATACAAAGATTTATAAAGTAGAATAATAAAGAAATAGACGAATTTCTAATATTCTTAATATAAATTTAATTAAGAGCATGTATTATAGCTATGTAATATATTATGCGTATTCTAATATAATAGTATAAATGTCATGCCTCCTGAATGGTTTATTTTTGAATTTTTGATGAAGAATTAAACTTTTTTTTAAGGGGGGAAATTAAACTTGTTAAAAAATAGTGAAATGTAACAAATTTTTAAAAGTGAGAGAAAAAGGAAATAAGAATAAAATAAGAATAATGATAGAGACACCAGCTCTAATCTCAATTTTTTGACACTAATTTACGTAGAATGTGAGTTGTCATTCGTTTATTGGTAATTATTTAAGAGATTATCACGTTAATTAATAATAAATAACTACATTTATTAATAAAAAAAATAACAACTTTATACTATATAAGGTGCTACAAAATAGTTAAAATCAAAGTTATTATTCCTAACACTATTCATAAAATAAATATAGGTACAGATGAAACGGAGGGTGAAAGATATTAAGGAAAGAAACGTGATTGTGGATATCAAAGGGCAAACAAATGCCTTCTAAAACAGGAAAAAAGAGAGTAACAAAATTGCACCAAATTAAATCCGTGGGTAAGTATTAGTAAAAAAAAAAAAAAGAAAAAAAAAAGTTGTTTGATAAGTATACAAATTGAAAGAATAAAAAATAAACTTAAAAAATAATTGAATTCAACGAAATTAAGTTTCAGAATTTAAATTAATAATTATTATTATACAATATTAAATGGATAGGTGAAATCTAATCTAATTGGTAGAAGTGTAAGTTTAGGCCGCTCATTCGGTTTGGTTTAGACCTGGCAGCTTAAAATAAAATTTCAGTCCCGCCTTACAAGAGAGAGAGTCGGTCCACCAACTCGGCTCTAAACTTAAAAGTTTAGGGTCAACTCAGTCCAACCCGACCCAAAATTTTATAAAGTATTTTCAAATAAATTTTTAAAGTGAGATGTTTGAGCTAGGTCGGGCTGACCGTAAATGAGAAGATCGGTCTAAGTTGGAGTTAGGCCGTATCTGAACTAATAATAGTGAGTCTCAAACTGACCCGTTTAATTCGATCTAAATCCACAACTCTACTTATGAGATCCACATTTGTGAGTGATGAGGATTATTCGTAAGGTGAAAAAAAAAAATTTTGATTTGAAAAAAAAAAAAGGTGAAAATTTTTTCGATTATCATAGTAGTTAAAGATAAATGAGAAGCATGTGACCGACTTCACCGGCCCCCCCCAAAAGTCAAAGCGACCTCCAATTTAAATTACGAAAAGGTCCACAACAGTCGTAGTGGACGACGTGTCATTACGCCATTGGTCTTTTGCCTCTAGATAATGAGGTGGAGCAGAGAAAAAAGCTTGTCAAGCAAGCAACAGAGCACGTGCCTCGGAGCAGATTTAAATAACATGCACGTGGTGAGTGCTTAGTTGATAAGGTGGCTGTCGCTGATGGGGATGGTAGGTGATGGGTGATCCAAAACTCACCAAATATATCTCTAAATATCGCGCTTTGATACTTCTTGTCCCTAACGATATAATGGAGTTCCAACTTATCAGGAAACGATAAAATAGCCTTTTCTTTTCTTTTTTTTTTTCTTGGGAATATTCTGCATAGATTTTCTTGAAGCAGGCCTCCCAGTTGCGGACAGATTTGGAGAGTGCCAAGTGCACATTTCTTTCATAATCACATCAAAATAAACACGTATGCAATAGTGATACAATCACAAATGTCTCGTTTATTTCACCGATTCGAATTTTTAGTTTTAAGTTTCTACAGTAAAAAGCTCTCAGAAAATATCACATCTAACTTTTTCTACTACAGTAAAAAGCTCTCAGAAAATATCACATCTCAGCTCGAATTGAAAACTCGAATCCGCGAAGTGAACGAGGAAAAAGTTTTATATAGAATATTCCTACGGGTAGATTGTTTTATACCCTATAATAATTTGTTTTTCATGTCCTTTATATAAGTCAAAATAGTTAAATTAAACAAGCTCAGAACACACATCAAGTTTTTACATGAGAGAAAAAATTGTAATAAAAAAATTAAATTTAAATTTTTATAAGAGAAATATTGTAATAAAAAAAATTTAAATTATGAAAAGTAAGGTTTAAAAAACTCAAAACAAAATGATAATGAAAAAAAATTTTAAAAAATGAATAATAATAAAATAATTCCCTGATTGTGGAGATTGCACCGACGCGACTTACAACTTGGGAGAAGGAAGGGTGGTCCCAAGCCATGGAGGAAGAGGGGTCACGACCCCTTTCGCATGGGTAACAAGTAGCAACCCGTCACCACTCCTATTAGACATATTCACAACCCGTTGGTCGTGATACGATCACAACAACAACGCACCTAGGTTGCGACCGATGTCGTGATAGGTTACAAAAGATGTGCTTACTATGGCCATTCAAGGTTCAATATTGCTTTAATTTGGGTCTCAAACACAATAAATAAGTAGCAGGACTAGTACTACTTGAGATCTTTAATTGAAAGGTAGAGAATTGATATTAGATTTAAATTTTGAAGAATGATAGTAGAAAAGTTAATGCCAATGAATATAACATATACACAATTATAGAAAATAACTTTTAATTGTTTTTTAATTCTTTAATAAATTGGTCTCATTTTTAAATTTTTTGTTTTCATTCTCAAGACTGCAAACAAACGCTATTTTCAAACTCTTATGTCCTACCATAGTATTTTATGGAAAAACTTGAAAAACGATCTCCAAAACTGAACCCTATCTAACTCATAGTGAATAAATTGGTTTTGTCATGGATGAAAGGGTATCCTTTGGAATTAGATAAAATTGATTTGTCGTGGATGGAAGGTTATCTTTTGGAATCACATAAAATTATTGTTGTTCCTTGTTTGTGTGTTTGATTCTTTATTGCTCTTGGTATCTTTAGACTAACCTCAGTGACCATCAACCCAAACTAGAGATATTTAATACGAAAAAAAAAAAAGAAGGGTCAGAATAAGAATACAAAATTGCACTAACTTTATCCTAAGAATGATTTTTTTTTTCTTTTGGAGATTGATTATTAATATTCCATAAATGTTTCCCTTATCCAGACGGAATCAAGTTAGTAATAAAAGAAAAAAAAAAATTTTGAATTGTTTCCTTATCACTTCACCAACCCTAGAGATTAGTTATTGCAACTGGAATTTGAATATTAAGTTTGAATTTTCTTTTCTCCCCTTGAGTTTCTAAATTACAAATATGGCCCTTTACGCTTCAATCTGTTGGTATCATTGTTTGCATTTTTTTTTATAAATAGATTTATTTTTTTTGGGTAATGGAGTTGTATCATTGTACACACATGCATACTAATGCACATCTTTCCCTTGTTGCTTATGCTATTGAATCAACGATGCAACAATTTACCTATTGTACGGGTGGCTACTTTTTCCTGTTGATAGGGAACAATCCAAGGGCCAACATTCAATCTCAACGAAGAGTTAGAGAGATAGTGGCAAGTCCTCTTCACCAACTAGTTTCGCTTCTATCCAAGTCCAATATCCATCCCCTCACGTCAATTGCCTCCAAGTCAAAATATGAACTTTTTTTGAGGAAAAATATGGGCTTTAGTAAAAGATGGAAACTCAAAGGAAGTTTCCAAATGGGTTTAAAGAACTACACTAAAAAATAGAGAAAATTATCGAATTTATTTTTAAGAGTATATGAGTCTAGATTTTTATTTTTTATTTTTAATAAATACTCTTTTATTAGTGTAATTATTTGACTAAAAATGTTATAAATTAAGAGTAAAAAATAAAAATTCTGACCCACACACTTTTAAAATATATTTATCAACATTACTCAACAAAATAAGAAAATTAAAAGAGAGAAAAAAAGACAGAGCATGAGATATTAGTATGCAATGAACGTACAAAAATCTACAATCTTAGAGCCCATTTGATTCACACATTAATTTAAAACTATGATTATGATTTTGTTATAATATTTTTTTCTCAAAAAAATTTTGAATCAAAAAAGTTTCCCTCAATAAATTCTCTCACAAAATTTAAATGCAGAATCAAAATTATTGACCTAAACACGTGAATTAAACAGGTCTCAATAATTGACTTTTTCCTCGTTTAGTTCGTTGATTCGAGTTTTTAATTCGAGTTAAGATGTGATTTTATGTGAGAGCTTTTTACTGTAGTAAAACTCGAATTCTAAACTCGAATCAGCGAAATGAACGGAGCCTTAATTTTGGACAAGTGGATGAAGATATGGAGAACAATAGCACTAAATTATCGAACTTAAGAATGCGTTTAGAGTAATAATTCGTGTCATAATTCAGATAATAATTTATACCTTATTATAATACTTTTTTCATAAAAAATACAAATAAACTGAAAATAATTTTGAATCGAACCAAACGTCTACTGTTCCCATTTAGGATTGAGCTCATCAAACAACATAATTAATTAAGCTTAAGAAACTTCGGAAAAAAAAAAAAGATAATTAATTAAGCTAAAGGACACATCAAAAGCATCAAATTAAAGGGTTGCAAAAAGTAAACTTAACAGTAAATTCCGACACACTAACAACTAACAGGGTACAATTCAACACGTCCACACTTTCCGCAAAATGTCTATTCCAACGAAAAAATATAAAGAGACGAGAAATTGAAAATGTAAGAAAAAGAAACGAAAAAGTGTCTTGAAAATGAGTCATGCTGAGAGAAAGAGACCTTCTGAATCTGATCTAGCTGTTTTGCGGAATCTCCAATTTCCAATTCCTAGTGAACTGTAGTAGCCGAATTGGAGAGCACCCATCTGGGCTTTTTCTCGCTTTATCCACCAAGTTTCTGAGCTTTCAAAGAAGAGGAAAAAAGCAGTTAAAAACAGAGCAAAAACAGAGTGGAATTTGGGATAAATGATGGGGATTTTGCATGAAGATATGGTCCTCATAAATGAGGAAGAAAAAGCAGGAGATCCCACTGTTATTACTGTGAATTGTCCCGACAAAACTGGTTTAGGATGTGATTTGTGCAGGATTATTTTGCTCTTTGGCTTGAATATTTGCAGAGGAGGTAAGGGTTTTTTTCTTAATTTTTGGATTTTTGTGTGTCAAAAGTGTTTCAATTTAGAAAAAGTGAGGTGGGTTCTTCTAATTATATCAAAATTCTAAGTGGGGTCTTGTCTAGAAATTTGTTTGGGTTCATTATAGTGATGTTATTTCCTTTCTTTTTTTTGTTTTGTTTGAAATTATGTGGAGAAAAGATGTTTCAACGGATGGGAAATGGTGCTACATAGTGTTTTGGGTGGTGGGAAAAGCAAGCACAAGATGGAAATTGTTGAAGAAGAGACTTTTGGAAGTGTGTCCGTCATATTTTTCAACATCGGAAATCGATTACTACCGGAAGAAAAACCAGCCGCCGCGGCCACCGGAAGTTTTTCTCTTGAAATTCTGGTGTTCTTATGATCGAGAAGGCCTGTTGCATGGTAATCTATTTGTTGATTTATAGTCTGTTTTGTGTGAGAAAATTGTTGCCTTCTTTTTGCAGCAGATGGAAAGAAGATAATTACTCTACTAAGCAAATCCCACACTAATTTCATTGATGAAATTGTTGCCTTCTTAATTTGGTATCTTTACCAGAAATTTTTTTGGTGTTACTTATGAAGAACTTCCATGTGTTTTAACAAAAATGTGTTATAACTATTCCCTACTTTTTACAAATTTTGTTAAAAACCTCCCCTTTGGGAGGTAACAAATCTTTTTAATAGCATTCCTGAAAATTGAAAAACATAAGGTGGAACGCGATAAAACACGGAAGGTTTTTATATTTATTCCTTTTTTATGGAGAGAAGGTCACTGGCAAAGGTGATTAACGACTTGAATTTCTTGCAATAGTAAGCATTGATCAAAGAGAATTGCATAAATTTGATCTTGTAAGGAGGAAAAGGAAGAGATGCAATTAATCCTTACCTAATTCCCTTGGTCAGAAAGAAGTAAGGAAATCGAGGACAAAGTCAAATAATCTCAAATACCATTTGTTTGTTTCATGAACTGGTCTAAAATGGAAACAGAACGAATTTGAAAAACTCTCCCTTTTCTAGTTTTCTGGGTACCCTTTTGAAAATGAATAACTAGTCCTTTTTGTATTTTTTTCAGTATCCTGGCATTTACCTGTTTATCAACGAGTTGTTTTGTAAACATCTAAATGTAAATGACGTGTTTTCATTATTCATTTACTTATTATATTGTCTATCTTTTGAGCATGAAGCTATATAATTCTACTTGACCTTTTAACTTTGTTCGGTCAATAGATGTCACTGAGGTTCTCTGCGAGCTAGAGCTAACAATAAAGAGAGTGAAAGTATCCACTACTCCTGATGGGAGAGTGATGGACCTCTTTTTCGTTACAGATACCAGGTTTGTCATTCATGACAATGTTCTTTTTTTAACTCTTATTTTCTGCTTTTCTTTTGCCCTCCCCACATTGTGGCAATGCTTACATTTTATTCATTCAGTCCAAGTGATTTTTTTGGAAAAGATAAAAAAGACAAAGTTTAATCAAACAAATATATCTCAGAAAGTTTCTTCTCTGTCCATTATTATTATTAGAGTTAATTTCACAAATGGTCTCTAAGGTTTTGCTTCAATCCCACTTTAGTCCTAAACTTTTTAAACGCCGCACTGTTGGTCCTTGAAGTTTTATTATGTTTCAATTTCAGTCTTTCTTAAGGCTGTCATTATGGGTTGTCATGTCGTGTTCATATCGTGTTGACCCCCTCACTTGACACGGTAAGACTTAACACGAACATGACCCATTTTATTATTCGAAATAAAAAACCCAAATACGATCAGTATATTGACAGGTTGACACGATACAATACGACTAACCCGTTTATTAAACAGATCATAATAGTGTCGTGTCAACCTGTTTCTAATAACCTGTTTATAAAATGAGTGATAATATGGTCTTATCAATTTATTTCTCAACCTATTTTTTCAACCTGTTTCTCAACTTGACCAACAAAAAAATATGTTTCTCAACCTGTTTGTACTTAAAGATTTGTTTCTCAACCTCTTTAACATATTGAAGAAACATCAAATAATCTAAGTTAAAAATTAAAACAAACACATAAAACTCTCTCACAAAGAAGAAAACAGACATACATAATTAATCATTAAATACTTAAATATTTTGCTGCAGTGAGTGGAGTCACATCATCAGCTATAATAAAAGTTGATCCCTGTGAAAAAGGTTCCTTATCTTTCAATGAAAAGTTGAAAATATCTTATGTGAGATCCTCCACCTCTTCATTGAGATCTACAAATATATATATATATATATATATATATATATATATATTATATATACATACATATATATATATATATACACACACACACACAAGTTTAGTTCAAATCAAGTTAGAAAATATAAATAAATTAGTTTGATACTACCTTTGTCACCATATAACCAATCTCTGATACAAACAAGTGCTTCAATTGTCTTCGGTTTAAGTGAGCTATGAAATGGATCAAGAACACTACCACCGACACTAAATGAAGCTTCAGAAGCAATTGCTGGATATCGAAATTGGTTTGATTTCCAAAAGGAAATGATATCAAGCTCTGTGTTCCTAGCCAGTCTTGGCTCATCCAAATAAAACTCAAGCTCTGTTTATGTGAAGTGGCAGTAAACTCCATAGAAGACATCTCATCAAATTTCTAAAAAAAGAGAAGGAGATAGTATAAGAATAAACAAGCAGACATAAGCATTCTAAAAAAAAAAAAATAGATATTACTAATAAACATTAAAAAAAAAATTTGAGGTATTACCTTGAATATAGCATCCACATCATCATTTCCTTCTTTTTCCTTCATAGAAGATTCAACAGCATTGGTCTTTTGGCTAATTGTAGTCTTAGTTTTTTTGTTGTACTCTTCAAAAATGGAGAACAACTTACTCCTCAATGATATGCATTCAAAACAATCATCTCCATAAAGCTTTTTGTAACTGAACTTAACAAGCGCAAGCTTAAACCAAGGATCTAGAACACGTGCTATAGCCAAGGTAAGATGGAACTAAAATCAATACTTTTGAAACTTGTCCCACATTTGAATTGCCATATTTTTTAAGTACTCATCATCACCTTCTGGATATTGTTTCAACATGAAGCAACAATGCCAAATGGAAGGGAAGTATAAGTTGGCAGTGGGATACTTTGTTCCAGAAAATTTAAGAGTTGCATCATAGAACAACTTTAAAAAAGTTTTGATCTTTTCAACTTTGTCCCACTCGACACTAGAAGGACAATGCTTGTAGTTTGAATCACTTAACTCCAAATGTTGAAATACACGGTGATAATAAAGAGCTATTTCAAGCATAAGACAAGGCGAGTTCCACCTAGTTAGTACATCTTGACACAAGCCTTTCTTATCATCAATTGCAACTAACTTCACACAATCTATCAACTTTTGCTTCCTCACTTGGGATCCCTCGACATATTTGACACTATTACGAATCTTAATAATAGAATCATCAATCTGCTTCAAATCCTCTTGCACAACTAAATTTAGTATGTGCGCACAACTAAATTTAGTATGTGCACACAACTAAATTTAGTATGTGCGCACAACATCGCATGTGAAACAAATTGCCATTGTGTACAAGAATCCCTTTCACAACTAGTTGCTCTCTTAACATGTCAACATAAACAGCATTTGCAGAAGCGTTATCTAATGTCGCACTAAACACCTTGTTCTCAATTCCCCAATTACTCAAAAAAATCATAAAATTTTTCCGATAAAGCAACGCCACTATGTGGGGGTGGCATAAAGCTAAAGTTTTAACACTCTTTTTTGCAAGTTCCAATTCTTATCTATGAAATGCAACAGTGAGACAAACATATCCATCACTAGTCAAAGAACTCCATGCATCAGAAGTAAAGCTAATTTTACGAGGAGTAGCCTTTAACATGCATTTAATTCGTGACATTTCCTTTTTGTACAACTTTAAAGCATCAGTCTTTGCAGTATTCCTAGAGACCAGTTGAATTTGAAGGTGCGAGTACTGAAATAGAGACCTTATTCCCGTATATTCAACAAAACTAAAAGGCAGATCATGCATGATTATAGCAGATACAACCAACTCACGAAATTTTTCAGGATCATACTTACCTCCACAAAGTGTCACTACACTAGTTTCTTGGGCAAGGAGCATCTGTCCTATATCACGGTAGGAGGTTTTCAGACAACTCACAAGGTGGCGTTTCAGATTACCAGTTCCATACTTGTTGTCCACGAGATACATAGAGTGACAATGTTTGCACTTGGCCTTCAATTTTTTGTCCGGACCCAAAGGAAGATGAACAAAGTGACTCTAAACTTTTGGGGTCAGCTTCCTCTTTCTTTTCGAGAGTTGCTCGCCTTGAGTTTTGGTATTAAAACTCAATCCATCAACCTCTTCAACATCAACCTCTTCAAAATCAACGTCCATACTTTGAGACTCAATGGACTCATGTTAAATTAATTTGCACAAAAGAAAACATTAGTTCAATTTAACACATTTCACATATGTAACTAAAAAAACCACTAGTTATTTTGGAGTGAAAACCCGGAGTCCAAAATAAAACTAAAAAATGTTTTTAACAACAATTTTCATTCTAAAAACTAAAAACAAACACAAAATCACAGATCAAGAGTTCATCATCAAAACCAAAACAATAATATATATATATATAAAAAAAAAAAAAAAAAACCGACATACATAGATCAGAACAAAACCACACATAAATCAAAACAAAACCTCAAACAAAAATCAATATTGTTGGAGTTTAGACTATTATTCCATTCTAAGCCGTCAACTAGGAAAAATATCACCACAGTGAGACCTACATAGGTCGATGTTGATTAACGACCGAGAATTGTCAATTGCAACTTCACCAAAAATAATTCCCCACATTTACTAGCACAAACAAGCTTGCCAAATAAAAACTTAAAATTTAGACCTAGAAATATGAGATCAGATTAACAGACCTCCAGATCTTTCAATTTTATTCCAGCAGCAACAGAAACCAGAAGCTTCTTCTTTGACAGAAGTGGCTTCAACTTTGAGACTGCATCCTTAACTGAGATCATAGAAAGAGCCAAAATTGATATGTAATAATGCTAAAATCTCATAATTTCAAAAATCAACATTTAAGAAAGAAAAGGGAAAAAATTAAAAAAAAAAAAAAGAAAAAAAAAAGTGAAAAAGCAATCTCCGAACATTTTGCAGCAAGAATCAAAGTGGACTCAACACACATTAAGATTTCCATGACTGCTTTTCAAAAGATTTTTTTCCCGCCTCTCTTCTAAGTAGTCTTGTGAATATCAACGTTTTTCACATAAAACATAAAATAGGAAATGAAATAGAGAAAGGAACAAGAAGAGAACTCTATACCAACTTGAGGCTTGACAGAGAAAACAATCACGTCACTCTGTTCAACTACCTGTTCTAACCAATCGCAAATTAGGTTTCAATCCACTAGCGAGAAAACATACACTTTATGACAATAAGAGGAAAAAAAGGACTAAAACTCCGTTTGACAGCTGAGAAAATGTAAGAAAATGAAAAATAACCAATATTACGGTAGTCCGTATTATATACCTTAGAACACAAAATCGTCATTAAAAACAAAAAACAAAAAAAGCCGCAATTTCCATTTCCATTCTACTATACTGTATTCTTTAAACAACCAAACAAAATTAACAAAAAAAAAAAAAAAACAAACAAATAGAGACTCTGTTCGGCTTACAAAAACAGTTTGATTGGAGTTTAGACTATTATTCTTTCCTGTTTCTTTTTATTTTCTTTTCTCTTAAAGAACTACTGATTTGAATTTGATAGCAGAGTTGAGTTCCCCACTGATATGAAAATCTACGCATCAGTATCAAATTTTGGGAGGAAGTTATGAAATGAAAAAAAAATAATAATAAAATAAAATAAACTCCTGAAATTTCATGCATGTTTTCAACTAAACTCCTCTCTTGGCCGAAACAATATGGGATCAACACGATATCAATACACCATAAACACATATCAAATCATCAACACGAAAACAAATAAAAACCACAAACACATATCAAATCATCAAAACAAAAACAAAAACAAAAAATGGACGGGAAATACCTAAAATCGAGCTGCCGAAGCAAAGAATCTGACTTCCCGAAGGCCGAATTTGATGAAGAAATGAGAAGAACAAGACTTCACGAAGGCCGAGCTAACGAAGAAATGAGAAGGACAAGACTTCCCCAAGGCCGAATCTGACGGAGAGATGATGAGAGTCTAGAGAGAATAGGGCGGAGATGAAAGAAGAAGAAGAAGAAGCGAAGAAGAAGGTCCGTTGGCAAGGTCGCAAGGGTGAGGGTGGGTCTGACTTCTGATTTCTGAGAGAAAGAGAGGGAACTGAAGAAGCAGGTTGTAAACATAAGTAACAAACGGGTTGTAATTGTTTTGTGTATTCGTCTTATCCAAATATGACACGTTTAATAAACGGGGTACGGCGGGTCAATTGTGGGTTGACAGGTCAACCTGAAAACGGCACGCTACTTGATTTGACCCAAACCTATTTATGATAAACTCAAAGCCGCTAACTTCGTGTGGGTTTCTTGTCGTATCGTCATGTCGCTATCCAGATTGAGTGTTAAATATTTGACGGAATCTATAGATTTTATGGACTAAAATTGAAAACATATCAAGTTTAGAGAGTAAAATTATACAAAAAATTAAAAGTTAATTTCCACATATAGACTCAAAATTTTAGCTATTTTTAATTTTGAGCTCTAATTCACACAAATTCTATCAAATTTTAACACCTAATTGATGGAAAGACTGAAACTGAAACAAAATAAAACTTCAAGGACTAACATTTAAAAAAGTCAGGGATTAAAGTGGGATCAAGTGTAAACCTCAAAACTATTTGTAGAATTAACCCTTATTACTATTATTATTTTTTTCCTGTTTTTGTTTGAATGCATCTTCTGCTCAAGTTTAATTCTACTACTCTATGTGCTGATATTCTTCTTTTGTCATTATTATTTGTTACCTAAACTATAGAACCCTTCAGTACAGACATTAACTTTTGTTATAGCCAATTGTAGACTCGCTTAGGAGTAGTAACCATTAAGATTTTCCTTTTATTCAATTTCACTTCCTATAAACAGTATAAGTCTCATCGGCCACAATATATTTTCATTAATGTGTTAGTTATTTGAGATTCTAAAGTTGTTTTCTGGATTACTGTCATCATTTGTTCGTCTTGTGGTTCTGCTTATTGAGTATAGACTAGGTTTTTCAGGTAGATATGGGGACATTAAGAGCTGAGATATCAAATTTCTCTTTGAAATTACTTTGAGTTCCTTTTCGATGTTGTAATTAACATACATAAGGTGTTGCTCTCTTTCTAAATCAGGGAACTTCTTCACACAAAAAGGAGAAAGGAAGAAACGATTCATCATCTGAAAGCAGTTCTACGGGATGTCTTGATAAGTTGTGAGATTGATATGGCCGGTCCGGAAGTTACCGCATGTTCACAGGGTTCTCCATATCTTCCTTCTGCAATCGGTGAAGAAATGTTCAGCCTGGAGCTGCCAAAACAACACCTAAGTGGAGCTGTCGCCACTAACCCAACTTCAGTCACAATGGACAATATCCTTAGCCCATCTCACACACTTGTTCAGATCCTCTGTGAGGATCATAAAGGGCTCATCTACGATGTCATGAGAACGCTTAAGGATTATAATATTCAGGTATAACATTTAACTGAAGAAAATTATCCAAATATATATATATATATATATTTAATTGCAAAGAACCTTCAGTTACATATTGTTTATATAAATGCCAACTATTATTGCAAGTTTTAGCCTTTGTTGGGATAAGCAAGGAGGATAAGTCCGTAGGATTTTGTAGATAAAATGCAATATAATTTTACAATGTGTCCAAGTGCTTAGCATTATTTTGTACCATTCTAGTATATTTTTCAAGTTGACTCCTGTTAAAACGTCTAGACTTGTTTGCAAGCTTTTTGTTGAATTGGAGTTATTCAGAATCTGCCTGTTTTTCTTTTAGCTGTTTTTAGCTTCTATTGATCGTAACCTGTAAATTTTCTTTCTTATTCATGGTTTATGGTTTATTTTAGATTTCATATGGACGGTTCTTTGCGAACCCAAAACGGAACTCCGAGTTAGACTTGTTTATAATGCAAGCAGATGGCAAGAAGATTGTTGACCCCAGCAAGCAAGATGCATTGCGCGCGCGCTTGAAAATGGAACTACTACGTCCTCTTAGAGTGGCTGTGGTGAGCCGTGGCCCAGATACCGAACTGCTGGTAGCTAATCCCGTGGAGCTCTCTGGCAGGGGTCGTCCTCTCGTTTTTCACGATATTACTCTTGCCCTTAAGTTTCTCAACATACGCATTTTCTCGGTACTAGGCCTAACCATCTATTTCTTTACTTTTGTCTTTCCCTGGCTATACTATTCCTTTCCACTTGAACATGTTCTGGAACGGAGACCTGTGCTTTGAATTTCGCAGGTTGAGATAGCTAGACACATGATCCGAGATCGGGAGTGGGAAGTGTACAGAATTCTGCTCGATGAAGGAGTCGGTTTTTCGATGCCGCGGAGCGAGATAGAAGTCAGCGTGAGAAACATATTGATGGGCTGGGACAAGAGTAGATAAGTTTAATTTCCATGAATGTGCAGCGCAGCTTCTTATTTCTCAAGCCCTGTTGAGTCTAATATGACTAATAGATGCTAACCGCCGACAAAGTACTAGTCATGAAATGCATATAAATACAAATGGATAAGCCCTTTTATCCATTGATGATACAAATTTGTTGGTTCTTTCTCCAATGGCCTAATTAGCGTTTTTTTTTTTTTTCTCTCTCTAATTAATATTTCACTTCGGCTTTTTCTCAGGAAGAGAATAACTGTTTTGTTTTGAAACATGTGTATTTCGCATCCTTTTTTTTTTTCGTGAATAATTTTTGCTATATCTTTCATTCTTCCGTTAGTTGCCTGTCTGATCAGCGGCACTAGGAGGACTGCTCAAACAAGCCTCTCCTAAAGCATAAAAAGACGGCTCAACGGTCACCGTCGTTCGGTCAAACTTTGCTTTAAAGGTTCCATAGTTCAACCAACTATGACTTTAAATAAATTTCATCTCACACGCTAACTATTGAAGGAAGAACTGGATTTCCTTTGAAAAATAGTGGTTATGATTATCATGATGATGATTATTACGAGTGGTTTTATTTACATACTCCTCTTTATTCTTCATACATTCTTTTGAATTATAATTTCTTATTAAAAATACTCTTATGTAAAATGATAAAAAATGACGATTATAATAGACTTAATTATATAATTAAAATTTATTATAAAAATAAAAATATTTTATTTTTTTCTCTTCATACACCTCACATATTATATTTTGAAATTATAAACAATTATTTTATGTTTTTTATGCTCGTTTATTTATTTTTTATTCTTTTTTCATTTTATATTTTTAATCATATATCAATAATATAATAATTTTGTTGTCGTATTTTTTTTCATTTATTGAATTATATTGCTTTTTATTTTATATTTTGAGTGTCTTTTATATTTTTTTTTTAAATATTTTTTAATACTGCCCTTATTATTATTATTATTATTTAAGGAAATGTTACTTAAGGGGGTGTTTATTTCGTAGACTCAATTTGAGTAAGCACAACTCAAGTTGTTCCTACGGCTTAAGTGAGTGTTCGGTGGGAGGAATTGAAATTGTGACTTAACTCACAATTCGAGTTTAATGCTCGAATCTGGAATTGAACCACCCACAAAATTCCATTTATTCGAACCATTTGCTACAGCTCTTAAGCTCTACACAACTCCAGTTTTTTCTTTTTGGATTCCCTACGCGCTTTACCGGTGCTTTGTTTTCTTCTCTTCTTTTCACCGACAACTCTCTTATCTGTCGATTCCCATCATCTACAAGGGTGATTCCTTGCAAATATTTGAGCTGCACCATAACTGGCTCCGTGTGGTGAAGCTTCAATGCATATCCGCTTCTGTTTGAGCTAGGAACCCTTTCCTCTGCGTCCACTGGTTTGCCTAAAATAGAGAAAATAGCTGCAATTAGCAGTGCTCTACGTCCTCCGCTGGCCGTTGTTCTGGGTAGATATCTCTGCCACCGTCGATCTGAACCCCTGCACCGCTGTAGTCACTAGAGATATTGTTTCGGTCGCAGGCAACGGTGGAGAAATTGTCGTACTTCATCGGAATCACGTTTAGGGTTTTTGGCGGAGGAGCAAACATGCTCGTCCACCAGATCAAACTCGATAAATATCTTGCCCCTCTTCGTTTTCCCATATGATTTCTTATTACACCAAAGTTTTGTGATTTTGCACATCTGCTCGGCATTTCTCTCCATGCCTGAAACCCAAAATTCCTTGATCACAATTATGGGTGTGTGGAATAAAAAATAAGTAATGAACTACAGGTGAGAAGATCATGAGATAACTTGGATTATGTCAAAAACATAAAACGAAAAGTTTTTATTAGGATTTGGTTTGCCTAAACATAAACTTTCCTTGAAATTTCTTTTCTGCAAGTGGATACTCTTGCTTTATACTGGTTGAAGAGTGTTATTGGCATTTGAACATGTTAGAGAGTGCAGAGTGGAATATACTCTATTTTGCAAATTTATTGTATCATTTTGACGTGTTAAGCTTCCTCTTTTTTTTTTTTTTTTTTTTATATTTGTGTAACAAAAAGTTTCATAGGAGAATGTTTTCATTCTGAAGAAGAAAATACTCTGACAATAGAGGCTTTCTTTTTCTTGTTTTTTTTTTTTTTTTGCTTATTCGACAACAACTTTAAGTAGATGGAGGTCGACATTCCTCTTTTTTTTTTTTCAATTGGAATTCCGATCAACTTTCCAGGGAATGTGGATTGAATACTGATTCAAATACATAGGAAAGGAAAGATATTCAAAAACATTGAACATGAATTGAAAGAACTTTCGGCTTAAAGAAAAATTTAAATCAAAAAAAGGGTTAAAATGCCTCTTCGTTCTCTAATTTGAAATAAACCAGCCTTACTTATCTACTACTTTGAAATTTAAGAAAGCAGCTATGTTATTGCTTTTTATTGCCTTTAACTTTCATTTCTTGTTACTTATACAAATTAAAAGATCATTTCAATAATTTCATTTTATGGAGTTTATTCCCCACACTTACTTGACTTAGACATACTTATTTATATAGATATAACAAAAGGGTTAAAATGTAACCTAACTAATACAACATATTAATGGAGATGTTTGGCTGGCTGACTATGACATTGTCTGTAGCATAAGCAAAAGGGTCCTATTTCTGCTTCCTATGTACATATACGTAGTTCACACCTTGCATTTATGTGCAGATGAGTTCTTTGTTCTTATTGGCCGGTATATTAGCAATGATGATTTTTTTTTTTTTTGCATATCAGTTTCGTTGTAGCGATATCCTTTTAGTTTTCTAGCATTTATCAGTTACTACTTCATGTAATACGGTTTTGTTGGATTGAATGTCATATGTTGTCGTTTATTTTTGCATTATGACCTCTGCTTTTTAATCCCTAACCTGATACTATGAGGCTTGGTAGCATAAGTGCCATTCCAGGAGGATAATGCTCCGAAATTGAAATGATGCTTTTATATGCAAATATGAGCCAATCAATTGATTTAGTTCCTTAATCCTCTTTCTTATTTGTCATCGCAGATGTCGCTTTGTTCTTGTGGTTGGTGGTTTTGATTGTATGCATTAGATGCCCTAATGGACTGAGGATGACGTGACCTTTTACTAGTCTTAAAAATAAAAAAATGTGCTGTTGACACGCCTTGTGGACTACAATAAGAACAACAACGGGCGTCAACCCGAAGCGTCCAACTGGGAACAATGGGTGAAGGATTTGTCCCCACATTTTTCCTCTCTTATTCCTCCAGGCCGCGCTAAAGAGGCCAAGGAACGACTAAAAAAAAAATTCAACGCCGAGCTCGCCCTTCGCACAAATACTGACCTAGGATGGGATCCAGTCAAGAATTGCCCTACTTGCACCGACGAATATTGAAATGACTTCTGCGAGGTCAGTATTTGTCATATTTACTCTATGATTTCAAAGTTTAATAGGAAAACAAAGTAGATGTGTGCTTTATTTGTTCTATGTGTTCAACAGACACACAAGTGAGCGAAGCGTGCACGTAAAGATCATTTGAAGAATTATGAGTTCTACTACGAAGTATTTATAAGTAGGTGTGTCCGCGATACTTTTAAAACGGGCATGGAGGATGATGCGGAGGAAAATTAGGACTTTGAACCGCAAGTGGGGGAGGGTAACGTTGATGGTGGTGACTCACAATCTCTAAAGGGTGAAGAAGGATTTATTAGAACAATGAGAGATGCTCTAAACTCATCAACTCACCCACTGAATATTGACTCTTCATGGGCGTATATCTATGAAGGAGTCAGTTTTTCTGTGCCGCGGAGCAAGATAGAAGTCAGCGTGAGAAACATATTGATGGGCTGGGACAAGAGTAGATAAGTTTAATTTCCATGAATGTGCAGCGCAGCTTCTTATTTCTCAAGCCCTGTTGAGTCTAATATGACTAATAGATGCTAACCGCCGACAAAGTACTAGTCATGAAATGCATGTAAATACAAATGGATGAGCCCTTTTATCCATTGATGATACAAATTTGTTAGTTCTTTCTCCAATGGCCTAATTAGCGTTTTTCTTTCTCTCTCTCTCTAATTAATATTTCACTTCGGCTTTTTCTCAGGAAGAGAATAACTGTTTTGTTTTGAAACATGTGTATTTCGCTTCTTTTTTTTTTTTTTCGTGAATATTTTTTGCTATATCTTTCATTATTCCGTTACTTACCTGTCTGATCAGCGGCACTAGGAGGACTGCTCAAACAAGCCTCTCCTAAAGCATAAAAAGACGGCTCAACGGTCACCGTCGTTCGGTCAAACTTTGCTTTAAAGGTTCCATAGTACACGCTAACTATTGAAGGCAGAACTGGATTTCCTTTGAAAAATAGTAGTTGTGATTATCATGAGTCTCGTTTACTTCGCGAATTTGAGTTTTTAATTCGAGCTGAGATGTGATATTTTCTCAGAGCTTTTTACTGTAGCAGAAAAAGTTAGATGTGACATTTTTTGAGAGCTTTTTACTGTAGAAACTTAAAACTGAAAACTTAAATCGGTAAAATGAACGAGACCATAATGATAATTATTATGAGTAATTTTATTCGCACACTCTTCTTTACTCTTCACATGAATTATAATTTCTTATTAAAAATGTTTTGATGTAAAATGACAAAAAAATGACGATTACAATAGACTTAATTATATAATTAAATTTTATTATAAAAATAAAAATATTTTATTTTTTTCTCTTCATACGTCATATTTTGAAATTACAAACAATTGTTCTATGCTTTTTATGCTCGTTTATTTATTTTTTATATTTTTTTATTTTATATTTTTAATCATACCTCAATAATATTATAATTTTGTTGTTTATTGAATTATATTACTTTTTATTTTATATTTTGAGCGTCCTTTATATTTTCTAAAAAATATATTTTAATTACGCCCTTATTATTATTATTATTATTATTTAAGGAAATGTTACCTAAGTATGTCGTTCCTCTCTCTAGTGTCACCTATAATCCATCTTGTGCGGGTTTAACCATATACCACGGGGTGGGTTTTGGGCGGATTGGCCTTATCGCCAACCCGCCCCACGGGTTAATTGGTTGGGATGGGTATAACAATATATATTTTTTGTATACATCACATATTTCATATATTGTACAACATTACTTAATCTTATACAACATTATACTTAATATTATTTATAGTGTTATATTTATGATATTTAATTTTAAATAAATGCAGGCTCCGTTTATTTTACCGATTCGAATTTAGAATTTGAGTTTTACTACAGCAAAAGGCTCTCAGAAATATTCACATCTAACTTTTTTACTACAGTAAAAAGCTATCACATAAAGTCACATCTCAACTCGAATTAAAAACTCGAATCAACGAACTAAACGGACCCGTAATCAAATGTGCATGCAACGAACTCTTGGGACCTCTAAAAATTGTCTTGTCTTTGTGAGGATATAATTTTTTTAGTTAAATAATTATATTGTTTTTTTTTTATTTTTTTTATTCTTAAAATTTTACCCATTATTCATAATTAACATTATTTTTAGTTAAATAACTATATTAATTAAAAGGGTATTAATTAAAGAGTAAAAATTTAAACATATATACTTTAAAAATAAGTTTAGTAATTTTGTCCTTTTTTTATCCGTTTACAAATTACAATTAGAACTAGATTAGACCTTTTAACCAAACAACTACTGTCATCCTTAAGTTAGTAATCTCTAAACTAGTGTCTCGTTTATTTTATTAATTTGAGTTTTTAATTTTAAATTTTTATAATTAAAAGCTCTTAGAAAATATTACGTTTACATTTTTCTGTTACAATTAAAAATTTTAAAAAAAATATAATATCTCAATTTGAATTAAAAATTTAACTTTACAGCGAACTAGGCCTATATTTATTTAAAATTAAACCAAAGGAAGGGATCACAATCAAAACTAGTAGATCAAAATAAGAAGGCGGAGCTAGTCAAAACGAAGGAAAGAAAAATCAAGAAAAGGATTCCAAGAATAGTTCCACGGATTCCATTGGTAGTAAGTTTGCAAAGAAAGAGCAAAATTGGCTTGGCGATGGCGGGGCATAAATATTTGAGAGCTCTGATAACATGTGTTGTGAGCAGCCCCCACGTGGTCTAACCACCTTCATTTCAGTGGTCGTTAGCAGTTTGAGCTCTTCCGTGGACCCCACTTTTGTTCCAATCCCAGAGGAGATTCCCTACGAATCTTCTTCTTCTTCTTTTTCATATCTTCTTCCACTTTCCTGCATTACACAATTCCCATTCCTCACTCAACCAAATTCCACTTGAAAAACCCAAATCTATAATTATAATATAAAACTAAAAGAATCTTCAACTTCACAAAAGAATCTGAGTTTTTGCTTTTTTTTTTAGCTTTTGAATAATTAGAATGAGAGCTTTGAATTCTCGTTTTGTGCTCATTGATCTCCACACCTCATGCCAATCTCAGAACTCCAAGTTAATATCAACCGTCTCTCCGGCATTTCGTCGAACACGTCGCCCGCATAACGCCGTCGCTTCGTCTGCGCCGTCGATTCGCTCCCCGGAAATCCGGAGACCGTCGGACCGGTTCGTTTCCGGAAATGGGTTGCATTCGAGTTCTCCGAATGCGGCCTCTACTTCGTCGTCGTCGCCACCGCGATCGGAGGCCTCTGACGCCACGGAGCTCGAGATGTTTCTGGAGCTCTTGCCTCCGAGAATGAGGAGGGAGCTGTACGGACACGAGGAGATTGAGGAGCTGATCGAGGTTGTTATGGATTTAGGGAGGAAGCCGATTGCGAGGTTTCCGTCGGGGGATTGGATCATCTCGGAGGACCCCATAAAGGACGAAGACTTGAGGCACGCTATATCCAAGGTGAAACTAGTTTTGTGATCAGAACCATTTCAACAATAATCGTGGCTTAATTCACTTTTTACTACAAATGATTAACTTATGTCTAAGATCTTGATTGGAATTGTGAAGTTGGAACCGTTCGTTTCCTTTTTCTTTTTGGGGGTTATGTATTTATTAGTATGTCAATTTAGCCTGCGATTTAGTATTGTGAAAAAGATGTCTAGTGTGGTTAGTTGTGCTGATCATTGATAGCTATTAAATGTCATATTTGTTATGTGGAGCTGAAATTTTCTATTCTTAGGTTGGTGATTTTTCAGATGACAACCGATCAGGTATCAATAATTCCTTGCATCGTATAAGCGCTATTCGAAACCGTAAAATGCAAATTATTGGCCTCACTTGCCGGGTTGGTAGAGCTGTCTCCGGAAGTGCTGAGATCATTCACGACTTACTTGAAGGGGGAGGTTCCATCTTGGTCATTGGTCCTCCTGGAGTTGGCAAGACAACCTTAATTAGGTACTTTACTATTAGATTTTGATGTTTGAGAAGCAAGCAATTTAGTTGAGTGCCATTGGGAATTGTCCCATTGATGAATGCTGGTTTTTCCCTGTATGAAATCATTCTCAGTTCCTTGGTTCTTCCTTCTCAACTATAACCTTTCTCTCTGCAAATTGTGCATCTGTTTCCTGGTGCAGTCATTATTCTTCCAATTTTCCTTTTGTTTCTACAATGGGAAAATCCAAGTAGAAAAATTAATATTGAACTAGTGCGGTTTCATATGGTAACTTTTTCTTAATATATATAAAAAGAAAAAAAAAATTGGAACTGAAGTCAAAACTTTTCTTCACTGCCATTTCCTTTCATTGAGACTTGACAAAATGAGTGAGCACATAAATAAGTCTGAAGTGTCTTTTATTCTGCAGAGAAATTGCAAGAATGTTAGCAGACGAGCATATGAAGCGGGTTGTCATTGTGGACACATCTAACGAAATTGGTGGTGATGGTGATATTCCTCATGCAGGTATAGGCCGCGCTAGGAGGATGCAAGTTCCTAATGTGAACCTGCAGCATAATGTGAGTGTTGAATTCGATCAATGGCTTTTCAATTTGACTGTTGCTTCAGTTCACAAATGGAAAATGTACGTCAATTTCTCCTGATGATGATGTCATGATTTGTTTATTACCCAATTTACGCAGGTTATGATTGAGGCAGTCGAAAATCATATGCCTGAAACCATTATCATCGATGAAATTGGGACAGAGCTTGAAGCTTTGGCTGCAAGTACTATTGCTCAAAGAGGGGTTCAGCTGGTCGGAACAGCGCATGGAATGACCATAGACAACATAATAAAGAATCCTTCTCTGCAGATCCTTGTTGGTGGCATTGAGGTGCAATGAAATACTTCTTTTTTTTTTTTTTTTTCCTAAACTCGTGAGTTTATTGTATCATACTTGAAAGGGATCATCCTCAGTGCATTTGACATTTCACATCACGCTACGAAATTAAGATTCTCCCAAATAAGAACTAATAATTGACCAGGGATTCTTCCTTTAAAAAAACAGAGCGTTACTCTTGGTGATGAGGAAGCAAAGAAAAGGAAAGTGCAGAAGACAATTCTTGAAAGAAAAGGGCCTTCAACATTTACTTGCGCTGTTGAGTTGATATCTAAATATGAGTGTCGTGTTCATCACAGACTAGATGCGACCGTAGATGCTATACTAGCAGGTATACCTCTTTGCAATTGGAAGTTTTTAGACCAGCAGTTATTTTCCATCCAAGTTTTTTGATCTCAAGAATATATGTACATATATTTTTTCTTTTTGAAACATCTGGAAGAATCCCTGTTCTTTTAAAATTTGTGTTTAAATAATTTGTTTGAAAAAATTTGTTTTACAGGGAAATCTCCTCTTTTTGAAATTCGTAAAATGGACGCTGATGCTAATGATTCTCAGAAGGCTACTCCAATATCCAAAATAATCTGCTCGGATAAATCTGATCTAACTACCGGCAAAGAAAGAGCTGCTGACATAGAATCTGATGAAGAAGATGAAGAGCCGTCTCCAAGTCGTTCCAAGAAATCGAGCAGCACTAGATCTGTTAACAAGAGAACTTCACCAGTACGAATATATACTTACAAGGTAATCTCTTGGATTCTGTTGCCCTTCCATCTGTGTCTACATGGGGGTGTTGGAAAGAATTTGAATTTCAGGATTTTTAAGATTATACGCAAATATGGATATTATATCACCATATTTTAATCGAATGATAATTTTGTCAAATTGCTCTACAGATTTTGTGGCTTTTGCAAAAATATATTAATCATATTGACATTGTTTTCTCTGTTGATCTGGACCTCTTTTAGATCCTCGAGGCTGATCTACTACAAGTAGCAACCGTAATGGGGCTTGAGGATCAAATTGATGTGACTGATGATATTGGAATGGCTGATGCAATTCTCGCTTGCAGTTCCGAAATGAAGCAGAACCCATGGATCCGTAGTGTGGCAAAATTCCACCAGATGCCAGTATTCGTTATGAAGGTATTATTTTTACTTCCTGCATTGCTTAATCACACGTCAAATATAGATTTGTAGTTTTATTAAGAAACTTGCTATCTATTTTTGCAGACAAATACCATGGCACAAATGGTAAAAGCAGTTCGCATGATTATTGGACGAGAGTCATATGGCTCTTTGCCGAAGCCACCATTTAAAAAATCATTCGACATTGAAATTGAAGATGATGGACCGGAAAGAAAACCGTCTTTGGAAGAGATTGACGCCTTGGAGGTGCATATACTTCCCCATCCTATAAGTTTCATTTTTTACGAGTAATTATTGGGCATGATATGAAATTCTTTGGTAATCCCATGATATAAATTTCAAATAACCAGTGCATTATAATTTGTACTATCGTCAAAATAATCATGCTCATAAATGGTGATTAATGCGTGTCTCCAATTAGTAAACTAGCACTCACAATCAAATTCAGCTTAAATTAAATATTTCTGCTTTTTGCCACATGATGATTTATGTTTAATCTAGATTAACTACTTAATTACGAATGAATTATTTTCTTTCCCAATAGGAGGTTCGTCTTGCGATCGAATACATTGTGATTCCTGGTGGAGAGCCCGTGGAGCTTCTTCCAAGACGCTCTGAAATAATTGCCCGGCAGCTTGAACTGGTAGAAAGCTACCAGTTGGCTGTCGAAAACTCAGGGACCGAACAGAATCCAAGGTTGCAGATTCTCCCCATGAGATTAAGTAAGAAGGGTTCTTCTAAATCTGTTAAATCAAGCTCAATACAGAAAGCAACTAACTCTAAATCATTAACTGGTGGTGGGGGAGCTGCTAGTTTTACTAGGCTGCCCCTTTTGCCTGAATAACAAAAACAATAAAGCTGCAATTGTGACATAGCTCAATCATTGTTGATACATGTGCCATTTCATGTACAGTCTTGTAAAGTAATTGTCTGATATTTTATTGTAATTATTTCACCCCCTCATATATATTGTACAATTTGTCCTCAATACTTCTTTAATAATTAAAAAAAAAAATTCAATGCAACACTGTGGTGGCAATAATACCATCTCACTGTAGAGCCATTTTTCTGTATGTGGGTGCCTTTTATGGCAAATCAGTGATAAAATGTTTTCTTCTAACAGCATAAGGGGGTGCTCTTTTTGAAGGTTTGAATTGAAAATTTGAACTGAACTTTAAATTTTTGGGCGAGAAAACTGTAACAAAATGGGGCTTAAGAGACTTCTACGAGCACCATTAGGAAAGAGCAGTATTTTAGTTAGCATACTGTTTCATATTTGTAAAACTTTGCTGGATTCTTATTGGTCGAATTATATTCAAGTTGAAGTCAAATTTTACTCCTCATATACGGATATACCGAACTAACAAGGGAACTACAAAGATTTTGATAAGCCTCCGGTGCGTTTTACTTACGTACGAAGGAGGTTTCGTAAGAGAAATGGTGGTATTGGGACGGGAGTAGAGGTTGACAGTGGGGATGTTAGCCAGCAAGGAGAAGCTTGCGGGGAAGAAGAGATGGATTGTCCAGAGGCTGAGCTGGCAAATTTGGAAGGAGGCTGAGAAGGGAGATTGGTTTATAGCCAGACGGTTAGGTTGTTTTGTTAGAAAGAGTTAGTTACTACGCAAATAATTAGTATAAATAAGCCTAGCTAGGGAGATTAGAGGGATTGATTACATTTTCTCTAAACGACTTAGACAATTGAATTAGGAGTGCAAGGGGTCTCTCGAAAACCCCCATACCTATCTCTGTGTTTGTCCATTTCTGACATTCTGTGGAATTTCCACCAGAAATACGACGAACAGATTTCTAATTGAGTTGTAGTGTGCAATTTTCTGTGTAGTTTGATCCTAACGGTCTTGATTGGCTTTCGATCTTATCAATTGGTATCAGAGCACCTTCCCGGGATGACGAGGCGGTCGGATGATCGCGATAAAGAGCGGACGGAGGTAAGTAGGGAGGAATTGTTGAAGGAAGTAGAATCGATGCGTGAAGATCTTGGAAAAATACCTCGATTGGAGCAAGGATTGGAATTGTTGTTGACGAGAATGGATGAGTTGCTAAAACAGCGAGGTACGGTGGATCGGGAATCGCCGGAGACAGAAGATGGAATTCCGGCGGAACAGTCGGGACCGACGGCAGATTTGGGGGAACAACCGGCCAATTGACGCGAAGGAGGAGTACGTACGGAATTTCGATCTCGGAGGGTAGAAATGCCTCTTTTCGATGGTGAGAATCCGGACGGCTGGATTTTTAGGGCAAAACGCTATTTTTCGATGAATAGGCTGACAAAGCTTGAGAAATTAGATGTGGCGGTAATGAGTATAGAGGGAGAGGCCTTGGCTTGGTTCCAGTGGGAGGATCGGAGGCGTGCGATTCGCGACTAGACAGAAATGAAACGGCTGGTGTTGGAGCGGTTCCGGTTGACACAGGAAGGGACCCTCTGTGAGAAGTTCCTGTCACTGCGCCAGGATACGACCGTCAGAGAGTATCGCCGGCAATTTGAGATGCTTGCCACGCCGTTGACGGAGATACCGGAACAGGTGCTAGAGAGTGCGTTTGTGAACGGATTGAAACCGGAGGTGAGAGCCGAAATACGTATGTTGAAACCAAACGGATTGGGCCGGATAATGGAGTTCTCCCAACGGGTTGAGGAGCGTAATCAATTGGTACGCGGGCCCAAGGCCCAATGGTCTTCAGGAAACCCATGGAATAGAAGTAGTGCAAAATTACCTGGACCGGCGACGAGGAGTGGATTGTCGTTTGGTGGAGGTTCAAAAACAACAAACTTCTCTGGAGTCACGGGACGAACGACGGGGCCAACCGAGAAGACCAAGGAAATTTCCGGTGGGGCGGCGCCATACCGGCGTCTCACCGACGCAGAAATACAAATGAAAAGAGAAAGAGGACTTTGCTATCGTTGTGATGGGAAGTACTCTTTTGGACACCGTTGCCCTAATCGGGAGTTGCAAGTGCTCATCGTATGCGAGGAAGAGGAGGTGGCAGAGGCACCAGAGGAAGGAGCTGAACCGGGGACGGAGGAGGAAGTGGTGGAACTCTCTCTCAACTCGGTGGTCGGATTCACATCCCCAAGGACCATGAAACTCAAAGGTACGTTACGAGGAGATGAGGTAATTGTTCTTATAGATAGTGATGCCACACATAACTTCATTTCTGCTGAATTGGTGAGGAAAATGGAGCTGGCAGTGGACCGAACTGGGGACTATGGGGTAATAATGAGAACTGGGTTGTCCGTTAAGGGGGAAGGGGTGTGTAGAGGAATCATGATCTCGTTACAGGAGATAGAAATAGTGGAGGATTTCCTTCCATTGGAACTAGGTAATGCTGACATAATTTTGGGGATCCAGTGGCTGGAAACCCTTGGGGTTATGATAGTAAATTGGAAAAACCTGACCATGAAGTTTGCGGTGGGAAACCGCCAGGTAACTCTGAAGGGAGACCCGGGGCTGAACAGGACATCAGTGTCCTTGAAAGCTTTGCAGAGGCATTTAATCATGAAGGACAAGGGCTGTGGCTGGAGTGGAACAACGTGGAGTTGGGGGCCATGGAGGGTCATTGGGAGGTTCCTGAAGCGTTAGAGGAGGTGTTACAACGTAGGGCATCTGTGTTTGAAATGCCTGCACATTTACCTCCGGAGCGTGCTAAGGATCATGCGATAGTTCTTAAGGCGGGAACGTCTCCGATTAATGTTCGACCTTATAGGTACCCGCAGGTGCAAAAAGAAGAAATTGAGAAGTTGGTCGGAGAGATGTTGGCTGCTGGAATCATTAGGCCTAGTGTGAGCCCGTATTCTAGTCCCGTGTTGTTGGTTAAAAAGAAAGATGGGAGTTGGCGTTTTGTGTAGATTATAGAGCTTTAAATAAAGAAACGGTGCCTGGCCGTTTTCCCATTCCGATTATTGAAGAACTTCTCAATGAGCTACACGGAGCGGCAATTTTCTCCAAGATTGACCTAAAGTCGGGTTATCATCATATTAGAGTTAGGCCGGAGGATGTGCCTAAGACTGCTTTCCGCACACACGAAGGCCATTACGAGTTTTTGGTGATGCCGTTTGGGCTCACCAATGCTCCCGCAACTTTCCAGTCACTTATGAATGAAGTGTTGCGAGCATTCCTTTGTAAGTTCGTCCTAGTCTTTTTTGATGACATTCTTGTCTATAGTCAGACGATGGAAGAACATGTACATCACTTAGATCAAGTTCTGGCGGTCTTACAGCAGCACACTCTTTTTGCTAATGCCAAGAAGTGTAGTTTTGGCCAACAATCATTGGAGTATTTAGGGCACATTGTTTCAGGTATGGGAGTGTCGGCAGATCAAGCAAAGATTGAAGCAATGTTGAATTGGCCGAGGCCGACTACGTTGCGCGATCTGGGGGGCTTTTGGGGATTAACGGGATATTATAGGAAGTTCGTGGCTGGATATGGCCATATTGCAGGGCCGTTAACAAAATTACTACGAAAGGATGGGTTTCAATGGTCCGCGGAGGCTGAACAGGCTTTTTCTTGTTTGAAGAAAGCTATGTCTTCAGTTCCAGTTTTAGCTCTTCCGGACTTTACAAAACCGTTTGTGCTTGAAACGGATGCTTCTGGGTTTGGCGTTGGAGCGGTGTTAATGCAGGGCTAGCGGCCCATCGCATATTTCAGTCAAGCCCTTTCGTTGCGGGCTCAAGGGAAATCCATGTATGAGAGGGAGCTAATGGCTATTGTCTTGGCCGTACAAAAGTGGCGACCGTATTTGTTAGGCTGCCATTTTGTGATTCGCACCGATCAACGAAGCCTGAAATATTTGTTGGAACAACGTCTGGTGAGTGTGGAACACCAGAGGTGGCTTACAAAATTGTTAGGGCATGACTTCGAAATTCACTATAAACCCGGTTTGGAAAATCGTGCCGCGGATGCACTTTCTCGTGTTGTTCATCCGCCGGAGTTGAGTGTTTTGCTCGTGTCCTTTATTGTAGACACACAAGCCCTGCAACAACAGGTTTTACAGGACGAGCAGCTAGGACGCATAGTCACGACTTTACAGTCCCAGTCCGAGTCTCACCCTGGTTATTCTCTAGTACAAGGGCGGTTAATGTTTGGGGGCCGGATGGTAGTACCCAGGGACTCGCCTTACATTCCTAAGTTGCTTCACGCGTATCGCCACTTGGCAGCAGATTGGTTTTGGTGGGGGATGAAAAAAAATATAACTTCCTATGTGGCTGCGTGTGATGTTTGTCAACGTTGCAAAGCCTCAAACTTAGCCCCTAGTGGCTTGTTACAGCTGCTGCCTATTCCGGAATGAGTGTGGGAAGATATTTCAATGGATTTCATTGAAGGTTTGCCTCGTTCGGAAGGTTTTGATTCGATCTTAGTTGTGGTGGACAGGCTTAGTAAGTATGGGCATTTCATTGCCTTACGACATCCTTTCACGGCTGAAGTGGTGGCCAGGGTGTTCATTCGGGAGGTGGTCCGCCTCCATGGGGTTCCACGTACTATCATCTCTGACCGTGATCGTATATTCCTCAGCCATTTTTGGACGGAGCTTCATAAGCAAATGGGCACGACTCTTGCGCGCAGTACCACTTACCATCCACAGACGGATGGGCAAACGGAGGTGGTGAACCGGTGTGTCAAACTTATCTGCGCTGCTTTACATCGGACAAGCCGGGAAAATGGCACCGGTGGTTAGCTTGGTCCGAGTATTGGTATAACACCTCTTTCCATACATCGGCACACACTACACCATTTCAGGTGGTCTATGGTCGTGCACCTCCTCCACTGTTGCGTTATGGACTTGGATCGTCGGTTGTTGACTCGGTGGATCATCAGTTACAGGACCGGGACGCTATGTTGGATTTACTTAAGTCTCATCTGCTTCGCACTCAGCAGCGCATGAAGGCGGTGGCTGATGGTAAACATCGGGATGTGCAGTTTGAGGTCGGGGATTTGGTGTATCTAAGGCTG